TAATTACATCATATATGACGTATACTTATAACGTATATACTGACGTCGTTGTTATGACGTTTCAAATAACGTCAGGTTTAGGTCATAGTCACCAATTAGTGACAAAAATCACGTAAATTTACGTCATTACAACGTCAGCTGGTTGCTTGGGTTCCCACCAGCCGCATGCATTTGTACACACCTTTCATAGAGTTGTAGGGGAGATCTATCAAATACTTGTTCAAGATGGTCAACGACTTCCGGTTTAGCAATCATCTTTTCCTTTATAATCTTCAACAAAGATTTTAACTGCGACACTTTTATCGTCGCTCGTCGATACTTCTTCATTGTGGAACGAGCTATTTTTCCGATCATAATTTTCTGAGAGCGCGTAAAGTCTAATTTTCGTCGCAAGCATCGTGGACTGCTTATATAACAGTGATCATGGCGTGCATTTCGTGTTGTAGTGGTTGGCGTAGATGATCCTTGCAGTAATTCTTCCTGACGAGGTGAAGAAATATCACGTGTATTGCAAGACTGCAGCTGAAATAGTTTTTCCACATTAGCTATCTTTTCCTCTAATGTCTTGACTTTTTTTTCCAGTGTCAAGCATCCGGTGCACGCATTCTGCAAACAGAAATAAATCGTGATAATCGTAATAGTTACAAGCAATAATTAAGACACGAAAAAAATTTAACAATAATCGATTATTTTAGATAAATTGAATGTTTCGAAAAACCATTCTGAAATTTAAATGCACCATTTGTAATTTTAGAGACATTCTGCAAAAGATAGTGTCACATCTTATAATATTAAGACTATCCACTAATAAAAATTATAAATTATATACACAAGTTAGTTTTTGTAACAGACACATCAAAAAAATTATTCAATGTGCATTTTTTCATTTTGTATTTCACTTACCTTTTTGTTTTCTTCTTCTTGCACTGTAGCCATTACTTTTTTACCTTCCAGTTCATTTATCTTTACTTTTGGAAGAATGTAATGCAATCGATGAGATTCAGGTGTTTCAGAACTGAATTTAGGTTGCCTGTTCCGTCGTTTTGGAGCATTAGGCTTGCACTGTAATACATTAAAATGCTACTGTAATAGCCTGTAAATTGCATAATTTAAAACTCGTCAAATCCAAACAGACTGACATTTACACTATCTGATATCTGCCTATCTCATGTACTGTATGTATAAGATGTTGAGTTTTTTTATAATTAGACAGTTTTATAATTAGACAGAACAATAAGTAGATTCTAAAAACCTTGATTCTTAGTTTAGAATCATACTTATACATAGAATGATGTATGGATTAGCTGTATCCAGTCTGCTGAGCCAATTTTGCACCAATCAACCAACTTAAAATCTACTTATCATAAAAATCTTAGCGCTATTATATATAACTTACCAAAAAGACTGAAGGACATGCTGAAGTTTTCAACATACGGCTACTTGTTGTAACAAGGTAATTGCTCTTAAGGAAATGTTTGGAACATAAAACAGATTGTTTTGTCTTTTTAAAGCTTTCTGGCTTACAATTATACATTTCCAAAAACGCATATATTCTATCAATCCATTGTTGAGTTCGATTCGGGTCTTTCACTGGAAATCTACATAAAAGATATGTAAATATTTAAGCAATTAAAAATAAAAAGTATGTAAAAATGTAAGCAGTAAAAAATATNATTTCTATCTACAACATCCTGACCTAACGATTTTCATCCTACATTGTTAATACATGCAACTGATATATTTCACACTAAAATCCTTACCTATGAAATGAAATCCCCTTTTCACTCCGCTGCCCACACCCGGGCACGCAACACCTCATGTCGCTAATATTACAGATGTTTTCACATATACAACCCTTTGACTATATAAACATGGACATGGACTGCCAGTTTCCCCCACTTTTCTCATTTAAGCAATGTATAAGCAGCGTAGGTAACATAGATAAGAAATAGGCACCGCCTTTGGGCCAAAAAGCGAGAAATTCAAATATAGTTCGAGAAAGTAAGTAAGGTAAAAAATGTAAATGTGAAACACAATTACTTG